CTGGGGAATTCTGGGAGTTGAAGTCCACCCCTCTTAAAGTGGCCAAGGTTGAGAAACACTGATATAGAGAGTTTCCCCATCTTCCAAAAGACAGCTACAACACAGCCTGGAGTTTTATTCCCTCCTTCTGTTCTTCCACCTTGTTTTACTGCCCTTGATTGAGGTTCTCCAGCTTCTTCTGGAGAGGAATGGCTGATGCCATCTCTCAGACCTGACCGACGTGGTCTGCTCACAGCTTGGGCACTGTCCTCCAAGGGGCCTTGTTTGCAGAGACTCAACCCAACCAAGCTGCTTTGTCAACAGCAGAACCGCCATGGATTTGGCAAGCAGCATGCCGCTTTCATTCATCTCTCCACCTTCTGCTTTCCCAAGATCGGAAGGCTTGCATGAAAACCCCTCCGTTCCACTTCTTTTCCTCCTCCAAAGGCTGGTTATTCGCTTCTCCTTTTGTTCCCAGTAAAATATGAACGCTGCTGCTGCTAGAGCTAGAAAAACCCCCATGTGAGGAAGGATGGAGGAGGCCCCAATGCTGGTTTGCTCCAGTCCTGTATCTTCAGCTGCCTGGGTTCCTCTGACTCACCGCTGGAGGCCTTTGGAAGAGAACAAAAAGCCCATTCTGAGCAGGCACATTAAACCTGACCCTTTAAAGACCCTCCGTTCTGGGAGTTGAAGTCCACCCCTCTTAAAGTGGCCAAGGTTGTGAAACACCGAGATAGAGAGTTTCCCCATCTTCCAAAGAACATCTGCAACGCAGCCTGTGAGAAGCTGCTTCTCAAGGGTTCTTCTCCTGCAGATGCTGGCGTGCCAGGCCAGCCTGCCACCTCCCAGAAAGGATCTCCAAGCTCCGGCTTTCCCCACTGCCAGCTGCTAAAGCAGGCTGGACAAAATGTTAGCAGCAGCCTCCCCCTCCCCAAACACTCACCCCGAGTGCTGATTCACATCGTTCTCCATTCTCCTTCCCCAATCGCTTCCAGATGTGGACTACAGCTCCCAGAATTCCTAGACCAGGGAAGTGCCGTTTCCACTGGTTTGAGGTCCACCCCTGATATTGGCTTATTGGGGGCCTGCATAGGGGGCCAAGGGCCATTTGGGGAGGGTTGGCAGGAGTGTGAAGTAGAGGGAGAGTATGTTAAGCATCTTCATGTCTTCATGCACCTATTTTGCTTCTTAAACTCTCCAAGTTCCCCCTGGATACAAGAGAAGGTCCACATTTTTGATCCTACTAATTTGGGGGACCCCAATTTGGGGGCTTCCCAGGGGGGGGGGGGTAAAATTGTCAAGAGGGTGGCTGCAACAATGTAGTTGAAGACCTGCCCCTTTTTAAAGTGTGTCACATGTACGAGCCATGTTAAAAAAAGGTGAGGCTTCGATTGTGTGGCCGTAACCACCAACGTCACCCTTTTGACCTCTGGGCAGATACTTCCGTCTGGACTGCAGTTTTTCTGACCACTGACGGGGGAATTCTTGGCCTTCCTGCCACGCTTCTGGAGAGCACAAGGCTAGGGATGCTCCCCCCAAAAGCCATGAGCTATAAACAGAGACGTTCTCAGCTAGAGTCTTTGTTTCGGTAAAGGCTTGCCAAGACGAACAGCCCCACCTCTGATGGGTGAGAAGATCCTGTGGAACTTGCAGCTCGCACCTTCCCAGATCTTGGATCTGCCCCGGGCAAAGCCACTGAAGGTGGCACTTGCATCTCAGTCCTGCTTCCCCTGCCCAGTGCCGCCAGGCGTTGGCGGTCGGCCGATAAAATGAGAGCAGGTCTCTCCGCCAACCCGGAGCCACAGCTGGGGCCTGTCAACCAGGAAGCATCACTGCTGGTTGGGGTGGGATAGAGACTTAGGAGGGAGGGGAGCAGTTAGCTCGGTCCCTTAATGGGAACCAGGTGTGGGGCAAGGAGAACAGCCGACGGGCCTCCTTCAGCCCGCTGTGCGTGGGCGAGATCAGCCTTCCTGCGTTCAGGGCTCTGGCATGAAATCCTGCTTGCTCCGTTTTGCGTGAAGGATGGGATCTGCCCACCTCTATCCAACAGAAGGGAAAAAAGAGAGGACAATGT